GAAGAGGAAGAAACCTTCATAGACTTCACGGCAAGCGGCGAAACCGAAAGACAATTTAGTAATAAATCACTCTTTGAATTTTGGGCAGGAGTGGATGATGAGTTTTCTGCACTAAAAACAAGGGCATTTCGCATTCTACCATTTTTAACATCTTACCTTTGTGAAACTGGATTTTCTGTGGCTTCTTTGAAGACAAAATATAGATCTCAGCTAAATATAGAAAAATAACTGAGATTGTCTATTTCTAATATTAAACCCTCGTTCGAAAAACTTTGCTCTGCAAGACAGGCCCAAGGAAGTCAAATTATTAAATTTGTTTTTAATTTAGTAAGTTGTTTTAATTTAATAAGTTAATTATTAAATATGACGAAATGTATTTTGTTTTGCATGTGTGTGTGTTCTTTCCTTTCAGTCACTTAATCAATTTTTTAAAATAACATTTTCTCTTGGATATGCTTGCGCCCCCCCCCCATTAGTGCGCTCGCGCCCCTTCAATAAATTCACAAAAATCCGCGGGCCACGTGCCTGTCAAAAAATAGTGTAGTCAGAAAACATATGTATAAAAAAAGGGAGGTTTGTTTTGCAAGACTACAATCGATTCTAAGCGAAGAGATAGTGTTACAGATTTGTATATGTATACATTGGCTCCAAAAAGTCAGTAAAATGTTTTAAATATCAAGAATAAGAGAAAAATTTTTTTTTTTTTTTTTTTTTTTTTTTTTTTACGACAAAGTGCTGATAAGGCAATTTTTCTTCAAATTTAAAAGTGGGGCCACTAAAGTACCTTCAGTGGGCCACCTGTGGCCCGCGGGCGAGGGATTCAAGACCCCCTACATGAAACCATCAGCGTCCATATTACAAGTTACTTCTATAACCCGCTTATGTAACAAGTAATGAAGGTAATTCTTCACAAGTGTTGTACTGTCAAAATTTTGTTCGAGCATTAATACCGTACAGGTACTGCTCCCTGAAAAAGCATTGCAATCATTAAAAAAATTAGAACTGGAGGACAACATAATGCTGTTCTCTAATTCCTGTGGACCTAATGATAAGGAACTGGTAGTGTTTTATTTTGCAACGATGAACTAATGTAATTTTACTTTTTATTACATCATTATTAAAATATCTTTTTCTACCGTGAAGGTCGTCTGCTTGAAGCAATTATCGTTTGTATGCCGATGTCGATCCTATACAGCGCGGAATGTAAGCAGCATCGTTCCTATTAATTTAAGTTGAAAATGAGACTAATCTACGCAGTTATTCCTTGCAATACTTCTGTACAAAATTTATAAGAAGCACAAAATCTCAATGGAAGCTGCAATGATCGGTGAAATCACGAAATACACCAGCAGGTCTTTTTATGCGAGGTTTCGTTCCAAGTCAGACCGGTTTTTATTAAAATGAATTCCCTCCCTCATCTTCCAGTGGTTCCTTCCGAGACGAGCTATTACTTAATTAAAGACGACCCCCCTTTTTCTAGAGATGGACAGAAAAGAGGCCTTTTTAATTTCGCTCACACTCCATCTCTCGTTTCTTTTCAATTACCGCTCGTAAGCCCCTACACCGCTCCGACGCCAGGTAATGAAAACGGAAAATAATAGTACTTTTTTTTTTTTTTTTTTTTTTTTTTTTTTTTAACCGGTGGGATAGCGTTTTACTTTTGCGTTTTTAAGTGCGCACAATTACCGTATTTTGTGCCCGCTGCTAAAAACCCGGCCTAATTACCATCGCCGATATTTACCTCCACTTCGAATCCGATTAGAGCTAATCGCCGCGAAACACCCTAGTTGCACAGGGCACGAAATAATCAAGGAAAATTTTTAATAACACATCTTTTTCCCTTCCTCTCTCTTTTTCTTTGTCGATATAACACATTGAGATGATAAGGATTCTGTTTTGAGGGAAATTGTTTGATATTTTGTTTTCTTTTGCGAATTCACGATATTTTACTTTTCGCACATAGCATAACCTTTCGTATTAACGCAAAGCAACACGAGGGCGAAGCACTTAAGACTCTTTTCTTTCATCTTATCATAATGAGAACATTTAAGAGCTTCCCAGTTTTTCCGAATGTTACTTTGTTTACGAAAGTTAACTTACTGGCGTCACGTTCGTAAACACTCCAAGGGTTATGATGGCTTTCTTGCAAAATTATTATTTATAACGCTCATTCTGTAAGCCCTTGACGATTCTTATTTTCTTGCAAAATTATTATTTATAACGCTCATTCTGTAAGCCCTTGACGATTCTTATTTTCTCGCCATCAGTTAACGACAATAGGAAGTTATGGAAACAAGAGCAATTCTTTAGACTTGTTTGAAACTTGTTTGCACTTGTTTGAAATGAAATTGGTATGATACGAATTTATAGATTGTATGATAGTATTCAACTGGAAAGTTACATCTTCTGGTAGAATAATCCGCAGGTATCCTTGAAGAATTTTTATTTTTCATGTTGTAACGTGTATAACGCATTCTCAGGGCTTAACAGCGATCGATAGGTAAAGTCTTTTAACACTGGCAGTTCGACCTGGGATCGAATCTTAGCTTCATGAAAGCTGGTTGCATGGTTGGTTGTGTATTTTACCATGTGTAACGCGAATACGACAGAGTTCTCCTTAAAACGTCCTCTTGGAAGGCCTCCCCACTTATTGCCCTCCAGTTGTTTTGCCTTATTCAATTAATCTAACCTAATCTAGCCATTCTCGGGACGTAGGCATATTCGGATTCATAAAATCCTTAACTTAGCTTTCAGATTTAAACTATCAGTTATTGATTAACTAACAGTAATGTTAGAGTAATACGTTTCCACCGTGCTGAATAAAAAACTTTCAACTTACATCCAAGCGCCCTCACACATAAGTGTTTCTTAGCACGTTACTATGTGGCAAAGCATAACGCTGTAGAGACATAAAGTATTTTTTGAAAGAAGGAGAGATGGAATTGAGCAACGCACTCCCTCGCCGGGACTCGAACCACAGACCTTTCGAATACGCGCCGAGGGTGCTGACCACTACCCCACGAAGACATATTAACAAGGCGGGAAAAATGCCTTATATACTTCCCCCTTTTAATTCGGATGCCACTGTAAAGACATTAGGTTGTTTCGAAGCAAGAGACATATAAACTGAGCAACGCCTTAGCCGGGACTCGAACCACGGACCTCTACACTACTACGCACCGAGCGCGCTGAGCGCTACACCACGAAGACATGCGAAGAAGGCGGGACGGGAGAAATACCTTATATATCCCCCCCTTTTAAAGGGCGATTGGAGATTAGGAGAGCCATTCGTCAAATCCTGGTGTTGGAAAAACATCATTCACCACCCTTTTAAATCGTTCACTACTGTAGAGACATTAGGCTGTTTTGAAGCAGGAGACTTGAAAAATGAGCAACGTCCTTGCCGGGATTCGAACACGGACCTCTTAAATACACGCCGAGCGGGCTGATCACTACACTACGGAGGTGTGCTAAGAAGGTGGGAGAAATACCTTATAACATTTTTGACTTATCTTTCAAAGGTTTTTAATTTATCTATTAATTATTAACAAACTGCACAATATCAAAGCAATAATTGATAATTTATCTTGATAGAGATAGAAATACAGATAACTGCTCTTCTCTCATGGAATCGTCATTGAATTGTTGTTTACATTTATTCATAGATGAAACATTAACGTTGATTCAGAAAGCGGTGCATAGCATAATGACTTCGAGGATAAACACTGAAATAAGAATGTTAAAAATATAAACAATTATAAAATTGCCTTCCCTTCTGAAATTAAAAAATATCAGCTGTTGTTACATTATAAACCTGGGCCTTTACTATAAAATAGAATTAACACTTAATACAAAAAGTGTTTCCGTTTAAATATTCCAACAGTATCCTGTTTAAATCTTTAAAATATACTGTAATATAAAAGAAAAATATTAGATTACTAAAACGTTTAATCTTGCTTAAAACATTTTAAAACACAAAGAAACGAATTTAGCATCTATATAGTCATTATAAAACTTCATCGTATTCTTTTTGGTTTAGTAATAATGCAGATTGTGTCGAAATTATTTAAAAAAAATTAGTACTTTTGCCCCCGAAATGATATAAGTATATAATGTATTTTATTTTTGATACAGGTAATGTAAAACGACACTTGTTGCAAAATATTGTTAGAAACTCCTGACAAAGTGGCATTTTAAATTGTTAAATTAAATCTATGTTTTTATAATACAGAAGAAAAATGAAAGTACATATTTAGTCGTCAATTTGTAAAGTTTATCCTATGTTTTTAACAGTTATCTTTAGTTAAAGCTACTTTCCTGTCCCTCCTAATTTCAGCTTACAATTTTCTGCCAATGTGTTTTTAGAATCTCGGTTAATGCGAATAAGGAAGAGCGATACTTAAGTCGAAGTTCCACCGACTTCGTGAGAGAGCCAGAGATTCTGACTAGCGCGCGTATGCCATTTGGCTACACTCTCTCTAAGCTATTACTACGCTAGGCCGTATTTCAGACCCTTGATAGCTTCTCCAGTTAGTTAACATTTAGGGGCCAACTACTTAGATTTTTGATAGCTTCGGCTATATCTTTTTAGTTAAGCATAAGTTAAGTTTGATTTCTCAGTACTCTTGAGTTCAAGCCCAAATGGAGGCTTATGGCTCAAGTGGAGGGAATGGTTCTGTACGCTTTAAGACAGGAGCCGTCTGTAAATTCTTATTTTGAGGAATAAAGGGTAATTAACCTCTCTTGAGTTTACGTTTTCGTTTCTCGAACTAAAGCGATTATTCGCTTACCAGACCTTGAGGTTCCACACACTTAGCTGAAGACAAAAGGTTGGAACCCGTAAACTGACAACAATATCTGTTTATGTCGGACGCGCAATTTTATAAAACTGAAATCATCTTCGATATGTTGAAAATCTTTTAAATCTTTTTTTACAGCAAGCAAATATGGAACCCAGGGTTTTTATCTTTGTGAAACTTACGTCTGAAAATCTGTTTCAGGTCAAGACTTGGTTCCAGAACAGACGAATGAAGCACAAGAAGCAGCTGCGAAAGATGAGCGAGGACACAAAGCTCGCCGACCCGCAATCTACTTCGAGACTCTTGGACGACATGAGGGGTTTAGTGTCCAGCAGGGAAGACAGTCTCCAGGAGCCGGAAGTGGACGTGGTCGGAGAGGAGGACCAATGAAAAATATAAACTTGTCTACCAATTGTGTAATTGCCATCATCATTACCGATGAACACAAAACTAGCTTCAGCACATTCTGTGGTTGAGGTAACTTTTGGAAATGTGCTGTTTCTAAAAAACACAGGTACGACATATCCCTCAAGTCGAAAAGTAGGCAAAATGTGCAGAAGCTGATGGAAATGTCGTAACCAAATTTAAAGTTGTGGTGATTTGAGCTAGACTTAATCGGGCGAGTAACACGTGTAATAGATTTCAAGTCGAGCTCAATGAGAGAAAATTTGAAATGTTATTTGATGATCTCTTGCATAAAATATTAAATAAAAACTATTCCAGCAATTGTGTGATTGCTCCTACAAAAGCAAAGAATCTATATACTACATGAGTAACAAACAAGGCATTAGATACGTGAACCTAAGGTCTTTTCATAACCTGCGAAGACTAAAACATTCTTGGAAATGAAACCAAAAATCCTAATATTTTTTTATATTGCTATCGGTTACTGATTCTTTAGTTTTCTAAAATTTAGTTATTTGTGTTATGTGTGAAATTTTCTAAACGGAGGGTAATTGCGAATTTAGCATATATTCCCAACTGTCTCAAATGAAAATTTGCCATTTTGGTGATTGTGTTAAGGGTTCTTAACTGTAAGAAACCTCGTCTTAATTATATTGTGAGCAACTTAAAGCTAAAATACTAAAATTATAACAAACACTTATGATAGCAACACTTCCATTGCCATAACAGCTGTAAAACTTTTAAACCAATGACAGTATAGTAAATCTGCTTTAAATACAGTCATCATACTATAATGGACTAATTAAAATAGATTCAATAGTAGCAGTCGCCCATTAATTCTGTTTAATTTAAATGACTTATCTGAGTTTATTGCTTTGTATAAACTTAGATAAATCATTCAGATAATTTATTCACCAGAATCACAGGCCTTATATGTTACTTTCGGTTTTATTTATCTTATGTTCCTTATTTTTAAGCCGTTCGTTATATTAAGTATCTATTATAAAATAAGTAGTTGTTATTGCAGTTATCAAAAGGGAAGCTTTATAAAGGAAAAAAATCTGATGTATATACCACATGACTTCCTTGTACGGAATATTAAATTATACGCATTTTTTCTTGCATTTCATTTAAACTTATTGGATTGAATATAATCTACTTCGTCGACAGCACTTAAACCACAATAGAATAAATGCACTCTTTAAAATTCACTCTATTTGTTTACCATAGCAACACTCTGGCGCTAGGTTCACTTAAAAGCGTTATACTTCGTTCATATTATAACTCAGAATGCACAAAATTTATATCATTTAAAGAATTATCTAATCGTTGCCACATGTTCTATTCAAGTACTATAACATATCTAGAACGATGTATAAAAGAAATTAAGCGAAAAAATAAAAAAGAAACTTTTTCACAGACGATTCAGTATTTCTCATTCAATTAATTCAGTTTTCACTTGGCGACAAGGCAAAGATACATAAAAACTCAAAATATCTGTATTAAAAATTACGAAGTAAATCTTAAACACTTATTTCCTCAAAAAAATTCCAGAAAGGATTAAGCATGATTTAATTCGCAATAATAAATGAAGGCGTTTATCGTTGCTGTTGCGAAGCTTAGTCTCTCTAGATTGGCAAGACAATGTGGAAAAGAGTTTAAAGAACGTTTGGTGTTGAATGGATCAAGATGGCAGAAGATGAAGGAGACAGCCTTGGGCGAATATCGGCTGTAGCCGGGATGTCTTACTATGCAGCATAAAGCACTTGCAGTAATATCCAGCAGGTCATATCATATCTGGATGCTTTAGTATTTGGCCTACAAGACTAACAAACTACACACCAATAAAGATAAATCAATAAAGCTAATTTTTCTAATAACAGATGTCTAGGTTAATACGAATATTTTGAGTTTTATAGTTTTTCAGCATCAAAGTTTAAAAGTAGTAAAGAATCGTACATGAACATCAATGAATTCCCAGTGTCTGCAGATACAAAAAGGCAGGCGTAAAAAAACGCAAACAGAAATCCCGATACACATTACAAGTTAGAACAACTATACATTTTATGTACCCCCAAAATGAGACAGTTCTATAACTCCCGTTCTAGTGGGCAGATTGAAAAAATTCAGCTTGCTTTTTTCATGTCTCGAAAGCGCGACTTAGGGTATGTATTAGATTCACATATAGCATAGTTCTAATGCATGTGTTTTGACACAAAAATTTCATGTCATGTCATTCCATAGCATGTCATTTCAGTCTTTTTCTGAAATGACATGCCAATTCTTTTCCATATTTCGATTCTATGACTACTCTAAATAAATTGGTAAAAACGCCAATTTTTGTAAAAATCGCACGAATAGTTTTTAAACAATTAGCTCTCAAAATTTTAGCTCATTAATATCAATTGAATTTGATATACATTTATTATTATCTCTTTTTTATTAAACTTATTTGATTCCTTTTTTTTTTCCTATTTCGAAATTTAGGTTCGTTCCAAATAAAATTCGCCCGTATATTACGCTTAATTTTCAAAATTTTTTATTTTTAAATAATTTTTATAAATTTTTCGAAAAACATTTTGAATTATAGCTTATAAAAGCTTCGCCACCACCTTAAAGTAGATGTTTTTCTAAGCACACCTGCATAAATTAGAGTTCCTTATTCAAAATTTCCTAAGAATTTTGGCGCGTTTTCAAATTTGGGTTATTTATTATAAGCGATAATAACGAAAATCTGGTTTACCCACTTTGTTTAAATTATTTGATAACATGAACGACGACTATTTTCCGCTCCTGAACAATGAAGAAAAAGGAAAGGAAAATAGGTTGCTATAAATTAAGAAATCCGAGAAGTGAATTATTCTTGGCGCAAGTTGAAAAAATTTCGCCAAGATAAATTTTTAAATTTTTCCATAAATCTCTCACCAAAAATTACAAAATTTAATATCTAGGCATAATTTGAGTGATAGAAGCGTGAGAAGGAAAAAATTGGTACGTGATTTCAGAAAAAGTCCAATTTTGTGTCGAAATTCCTATGTTAGAACAAAGCTATTGTATATAAATCTAATACATATCGTAAGTCGCGTTTCTGACATCTGTCTGAGACATGGAAAGCGCAATTTGAATTTCGTCAATAGGCCTAGCAGAACAGGAGATACAGAACTGTCATTTTTTTCTTATTTCTTTTTGTGGGGGTGTGCCGTGTATATATTAGAACAGTAAAACATTAGATATGGGCGTTGGCATGTAGTCCTAGATCCCTCGAAAAACTAAATCTAGCAGTGTATGCCTGCAGACACTGATAACATTGATCAAATGTTCAAGAGAAAATACCCCATTGCCCATGGCACGTCTGCCTGACCAGTAGTAGAATGGATAGAAATATATGCAGAATTCAAGCCTTCTGCTATTTGGTCATTAGTTTAGCGGTATCACTTTCAGAACGAAGTAAAAGTAATTAAAAATTTTAAAGATAAAAATCTGAAAGGTTTCAGATTTTAAATTACATCCAAAGGGGCGTTTTTTTTCACATTTTGTATGTTACCTTTATTTATTAAATATCACGTTCTCGCGTGATATTTAGTACTCTGTATTTATTAAATACAGAGTCTCGCGCGCTGTAGATAATTTTTTTCTGTACAACATTGCCATTGCTCTCTTTGAACTCCTTGAGTTTGTTAATCAAAAATTCGTTAAAGTTTTACAAAATATGAAATCGATATCAAAACAAATTCCAAATTTGGGCTTCCACGTGCCCATATTCGCAGTAGGATTATTTCATTCAAAATTCTATGGCTCTATGAACCGTTGTTTTATCACAATGCGAGAAATATACATACGTTTATGCAGACTTGGTTTTTCATTATTTAATTTCTTCAAATATAATGCAGGACTCTAACATTGGGTGGCAACAGTTTGAAAAGTGAAACGGACATTTATAGTGAACCAACGCAAAATCGCAAAACGAAAGCAATAATCCTTCATGGACAAAGCCCCTTTGGACTAACAAGTTTTTGATAAACTGTAACTAAAACTATGTTGTAATTATGATACTCCCCTCTACAGAAAATACAAAGTTCAAAAACTAAAAACACACACACACATACACACATGCAGTGAATTTGCGTCGTATTTGGAAAGCAAGGATGCAGATGGGGCTTTAATCGGGACAAAAAGCAAGCAAGCAAACAGAACTAATCGGATCAAGTGGCGACGCCCAAAATCGATGCGAACGTTTTCTCTTCCTAATCTCGCGATACGAGCTCGGATGTTCTCGGAAGGCGGAGAGGTCTCTAAATTTTCAAAAAGTGTTCCTCGTTACAAGGTATTACTGAAATCTTTTCGTTAGAATCAAAGGTCGACTAAGAAAACGCATTTTTTTCTCGTCGCTGCTATGATTTTAAATGAGACGCCGGCAGCATTTCATTGAAATCTTTTCAATTTCTGCGGTTTTCTCGAGAAACGGTGCTCTGGCGCTTCTTTCTTTCTCGTAGTTGAATTTTAGTGTTATTTATTTCAAATGTTGAACCATTTGCATCTTACGCGTTGCACATTTTACTGAATAGTAACGAGTAAAAGACAAATAATAAAGGAATGTAAATATGTGGACGAGAGAGTTAAGCTTAAAACTCTTAGCTTTCTTTTATAACTGTCGTAGCCAATCTTTTTCATAGTCTGAATTTCTCACAATGAAATGAGTTAGTAATACATTTCTAGAACTATTGTCAAAGATAGTGCAGAAGATTTGAAATAAATGTAAGCTTAAGTAAGGCCTGTGAGAAGAAGTACTCGAAATTGGAAAGAAAATCTGTAACTCGAAAAGAAAGTCGCCCACCACCTCCCCAGTATAAATGCTTTCCCGAGCCTGGTGAAGACTACCAAGAAGACAATTAGTTCGGAACAGCAAGATTCCTATAGTAAGAAATTGAAGGAACCCAAAAATTACAGTCTCATGAAATTACCCTCTAAAGAATTCAGCAAACTGGTTATTTGACGAAAACATCTTAAATCTCATGGAGAAAATCCTTCAATGCATCGAAAAAATTCAAAACGCAAAAAGTCAACTGGAAAAGCAGTCAAGACATTGGTTGCCTTTGCAGAAGTTTGAAGCAGTCAAGACATTGGTTGCCTTTGCAGAAGCGAAATAGTCACCTGACATGCAAAACCCCGCTCACAGTGCAGTTCCTGACTTATGGACTGACATAATACTATGGAAATTTTACTTTGACTTCCCGGGTTCTATTCCGTGCTCATTCATACTTCTTCCTTGGACCTGATTTTCTGTTCAGCATCGATCCTTCGGCCACTTTAACGACCAGAATTTCCTGACTACAGTTTAGCTGCCCCCGGGCGATAGGTGTATATCTTACTTTTCTTACCAAGGTGATCTGCCTATGGCTTAATATGAACGATTGGCGATAGCTTTTAGAAGCTAAGGCCAGTAGCGAAAGATTCGTATTCGCATCCGCCTGTGAGAAGCAGACGAATGTAGGTCTGAAATCAGTACTATAAAAATATTACTTCGATATTTTTGCTGCTACTCATTATAATTTCAATATTAATAACAACAAAAGGTAAACTTTTAAAGGTTCCTTTTTATGCGAAAGTGAAAAGATTAAAATTTCAAGTTTAGCGAAGTACAAATCAGTAACGAATGTGTAACCATGAGGTAACCGAAGCTAACTGAAAGGCAGAAAGTAACGAATTCAGTTATTTTAGACATTCGATGAACCTTCTTCGGAAATTAGTAACTAGTACACACTGAAATAACGAGTCTACTCCTACCCAGCTTCGGAATAGCTCGAACAAAATTTAGAAAATTTCTTTATACAGAAAGAGATAACAAATATATATACATATGTGTGTGTGTGTCTGTTTTTCTATCTTAAGGTTTTATTGGTGTTATTTCTTTTTCTCATTTACAATATACTGTTCATTTTAAGTCCAACAGTTTATTTACATGGGCTATTACTTAAGCTTTCTCCTATTTAAACATATATCGTAATATGTTTCATAATAAAGTATTATTTAAAAACGTATTCACCATTCTTCACTAG